TAAAAAAAAAAAAAGTCAAGGGAACATTACAAAGCTCAGAAAAACTTCCACAAAATGTCTCCTGACCTACAGAAAATCTTAAACAATTTTGCTCCACAAAGAAATCCATTTTAGGTAGTTTATCATCCAAAGTTTGAATATTCTGAAAAAGAATATAAATTTAATAAATCATTCTCACTCCCGTTTTCTACAGTAATTTGCTTAACATTTTTTAAAATCCTAAACTTTCTTTCACATTTAAATTTATAATCCAGAAGAAAGAAAAGTGAGAAACTCCAACAAGCTACATGATCCTATCATACTTATAAACCTCAGGATAATTTGATTTATAAAAACATTTCAGGAGCACCTGGCTGGCTCAGTCAGAAGACTCATATGACTCTTGATTTCAGGATTGCGAGTTCAAGCCCCACGTTGGGTGTAGAGATTGCTTAAATAAACTTTAAAAAAAATTTTTTCCGGGAAAGTTCAGACTTTAATAAACTTTTCAGCTTCACTTCTAAATCTGAATGTTAATCAGGCCATACCTGCTTTTCCTGAAAATGTGGCTGCTTCACAACTCCATTAGCAACAGCAAAAGGCCCAGGAGACTTTGACAAATTCAAATCTTTTTGATTAGATAGGATGTCAAATAATATTAAAGAACCTAGAAAAAAAATTGCATTTTGCTTTATAATGTACTAATAATTTTGTAACACTAATTATCATTTTTTTTACAAAGTCCCTAGACAGAAGTCATACAAAAGTTAAATGTCATTCAAGATCTGATCATCAATATCATTGTTTTACCAAATAGCAAAATAAACTAAAATACAAAGCATTCCTAGGTAATTGAAAAGCAAAAGCAGAATCTAACTAGACTCACCGCATTCATGTCTACCCTTTATAAAACTTAAAACCTGGGGCACCTGGGTGACTCAATCGATTGAGCATCTGACTTTAGCTCAGGTCACAATCTAATGGTTCGTGGATTTGAGCCTCGCATTGGGCTCTGTGCGGACAGCTCAGGGCCTGTAGCCTGCTTCAGATTCTGTGTCTCCCACTGTCTCTGTTCCTCCCCCACTCACACTCTGTCTCTCTCTCAAAAATAAACATTAAAAAAAGAATTTAAAAAAAATTAAAACCTGTAATTCTAAATCTCACACTAACATTGTCACCCTCTCTAAAAGCAGTGAGGACTCAACACAAATCATGTTTAAAATGTGGATATTTGACAGTTTCACCTAAACTGTGACCAGCAACAGAGACTCCTCCTTTAAAGTCTGGATTCCGACTCATAAAAAGTGCATGTAGACGGTTGATCTCCATGCTCACTTTTTCCACAATCGTCTGACAGTAGGTGGGGCTATTGTAAAATAAAATATCTAGCAAGGTTTCATTGGTAAAGTGACGAAACCGACCAATACTTGGTAAGGTGATTTTCTTAATATTCCTGTTTAAAGAGAAGAAAAAGTATATTCAGTCAGTAGCCACCTTAAACCTATAGATTTTTTAAAGTTTAGATCCTGATTTCTAAATACACAATGAGTAAAGGAATCCCATAGGCTAATTATGAGCTGATTCTGTAGACAGTTATTATAAATGAATCAAGATAAAGCAAAAATTATGTGTGCCTATAGCTATACTATGACTTTGGGGCTTCCTGAAGAGTTATTACATAAAAGAACGCCTACGTAAAAACATAAATTTTATTTTTAAAGATGAAAGGCTACTCTTCCATTTTTCTTCCAATTAAGTGGAAATGAGGACACCTGACAAAAACTGCAGCGTAAAGGACAACAGGGAATATAACAAAGAATCAGAAAGCAGCTTCATTCACTGAAAAATCTTTCCTGATTTGAGAATGGAGGTAGCCAAGTTCATGAACATCCACATGGAGAGAAAACACCCTCATAATAGGGCCTGCCTGGAATAACATATGGAATAACACAGAATGCCGTTTGTAGAATTAGTTTTATTAAACTACGTGCCTTGAAACATTATGATGTTCACTAAAACCCAGACATGTTATTAGCCCTGTGCCCCAGCAGAAATGTTTACCTCAATCTGTGTTTCTCAACTGGGAGCATTCAAAACTGAGTGGGACACTAACTTGTCGTAGTGCCTACAGAGTGCTGCTGGTTTTTAACAACGACTGGAGATGTCTTTGGCTGTTATGGGTTCGAGGCCAGAGGAGGGGGTGCGTGCTGTTGTTGTCTAGTGGGTAGAGGCCAGGATGTTCCTAAATGTCCTACAACATACAGGACAGCACCCTGTCTCAACTACTACAGGTGAGAATAGTATTCTAAAACTGGCTTAAATTCCTTAGATTCTCAGGGCACCTGGGTGGCTCAGTCAGTCAGGTGTCTGACTTCGGCTCAGGTCATGATCTCACAACTCATGGGTTCAAGCCCCACATCAGGCTCTGTGCTGACAGCTCGGAGCCTGGAGCCTGCTTCGGATTCTATGTCCCCTCACTCTCTGCCCCTCCCCCGCCTTGTGCTCGGTCTCTCTCTCTCTCTCTCTCTCTCTCTCTCTCTCTCTCTCTCATAAACATTAAAAAAAAAAATTCCTTAGTCTCTTATTTATAATAGGAACACATACATATGCCTACACACATGTGCAAAAACACACATGTAAACACACACAGATAAGTAGCATATAAACATTAACGGCCAGTATTTAAATCATATGTCAGGGCAACTAGAACATTTAAATAAAGGACTGTATTTGTTGAATATATCTGTTGAAGCTACAACAAACTATTTTATATTATGGTTTAAATCTTGAATCTAAGTGTGACTAATCCGAATGACGAGTTATTAAAGTCCACAAACCTGTCAACACCTGTGGCATCCCCACCCAAGGAACTGTGCCAATGAACAGGAAGAAACTCCACTCTGCTTACTTTCCGATCGTCTAAAGATTTCTTGAAATGTGTCTGCAGCAATTTCAGAGAAACCACCCGAAAATCATCCACTTAAAAAAAAAAAAAAAATTCAGGAAGACAAATTAAATAGGTTAAATTTTCCCAGCTTGACAGGTAGTTAGCAATTCCCATTAACTATGCCAGTATGCTTTATAACAAACTTCTTAAGAAAAAAAAATAAGAATGACAAAATCAGTCCAATAAAGAAAAAACCCAACTTTTAGGAAGCTCTTTTCAACTTTTCAATAGTTTAGAGGAATATGTAAATGAATTAACTTAACTACCACTTCTGGAAGGCAGCATGGCACCATGGGTACAAACTCTGGAATCAAACTACCTGCCACTGGACCCCTGCCCAAGAACCCACAGACCACGAAAGCAGAAAAGCTAATTTGCGCTTACAGGCCTCAGTGCCGCACGTACCGGTGCAGAGGACAGACACCCCCAGGGTTTATTGGGAGAGGTAAGTAAAATGACACACACAAAATGCCTGGCACAAACCAAGTATTGAATAAATACCAACTATTATACAAATATAAAAACAAAACTTCAAAAATGTAAGTAAACAGGCAGATTCACTGTTCCATTAAACAACTTCTTTCAACTAATTCACTTTAAATTTAAAGCTCAAAGCATAGGTATTCCCAGTTGCTAGACGTGCTTAGGCAGAGGGTGTCTGTCAGGAAAGGCTAAATCATTTCAAAGATCTCCCTAATTCTAATTATTCTAATTCTTCACAGTCTAGGATTTTATGAGTTACACGTATCATAAGAGCAAATCAAGTACAAATTATTTCCCAATGACCATTTAAAAATCTCCCCTTACAGTTCCTCAGCCGGTAGTACACAGCTGGAAACTATCTTAAAAATGAACATTTAGGGGCACCTGGTGGCTCAGTCGGTTGGGCGACCGACTTTGGCTCAGGTCATGATCTCACGGCTTGTGAGTTCGAGCCCCGTGTCGGGCTCTGTACTGACAGCTCAGAGCCTGGAGCCTGCTTCCGATTCTGTCTCCCTCTCTCTCTGCCCCTCCCCCACTCATGCTCTGTCTCTCTCTGTCTCAGAAATAAACAAACATTTAAAAAAAAAATTTTTTTTTAATGAACATTTAGTTTTGAGTGAACAGCTCTATCTTAGAAAATATTTTGCCAAGTATTTTCTCTTTGTTTTAACATAAGGGTGTCACCTTTTGAATGTCTCTGAATAATACCAGAAAATGATACTTGTTCCAAGAAAAAAAAAAAAAAATGAACATTTCAATGTTCTTCTGGTAGTTCTCCAGTCATCGCATGAAATAAAATGACTAACTTACCACATTCAATAATGCTTCTAAAGCGCAAGTCACACACAGGTCCAATGCCATGCACCATGAACACCAAATGGTCAACCCGAGGCATTTCCCCTACAAAAGAAATGCATACATGGCTATATACATGCAATATTATAGCTATCCCTTTTGTCACCACAAACTGGGCAAAGAACTGTAGGACCCTTCCATGCTAATAAGCTTTATTACTCTCTATGAGATGAGAAGAACAAAGCTCAAGGTCCATCTCGGTAAGTAACAGTGAACTAGACCAAGAAGTGGAGGAAGGTCACCCCGATCCCAGAAGTTATGAGCATGTGATAATCATTAGTTTTGTGCCTACTGCGTCTCCACAACCTTTGTGATTTCTTCAGGATTCCCCAGGAGACTACTAAGTCCCACATGAAAAAGCAATATGCCAATATAAAACTTTAAAATATTTCCCCCAGTGGGGCGCCTGGCTGGCTCAGCTGGAGGGGCATGCAACTCTTGATCTTAGGGTTGTGGTTTCAAGCCCCACACTGGGTATAGAGATTACTTAAATAAATAAATGTAATTAATTAAAATAAAGCATTTTCCCCAAATCCTTCCATTTCCCTATACAATACATATCCTGTATCAAGAGCATCTTCAAAATATATATAGGAAAATCAAGTTAAATCTATTATCTTACTCTGGCATATAGGAACATCTACAAGTTAAATTTACTATTTCACTCTGGTTATTTTGTTCAGATTCACAATGAGTACATTTATTTTATAATTTCATAAGACAATGAAACAAAAACGAAGTACGTAATTGTCAAAATAAACTGTGTATATTTTTTAACGTTTATTTTATTTTTGAGAGAGAAAACGCGTGTGCGCGTGCCAGTACAAGCAGGGGAGGGGCAGGGAGAGGGGGACAGGATCTGAAGCGGGCTCTGTACTGACAGCAGAGAGACCGATGCGGGGCTCAAACTCGCCAACCACAAGATCATGACCTGAGCAGAAGTCAGACATTTAACCAACCGACCACCCAGGTGCCCCTGAAATGTGTCATTTTGAATGGTGCAACAGGAGAAACCAAAGCATATACACTGGAGCAGGGGTTGACCAAACAGGCCAAATCTTGCTCACTGCCTGTTCTTTACAAAGCTTTACTGGAACACAGCTATGCTCATTTGTTTATATACTATCTATGGATGCTTTCGCACTGCAATGGCAGAGTTGAGTAGATGCGACCAAGTCCATATGGCCTGAAATATTTACTATTTGCTCCTTAACAGAAAAAGTTTGCAAACTTGCACTGGAGTAATACAAGGTAGATAAGGCATAACCAAAAAAAGCCCAAATGTATTGCCAAAAGCCTGGTTTCAACCAGCAAAGTGTTTCTTCACAACAATACGTATTTTAGAATTTACATTACATGGTCTGTATGTCTTCAACAGGATTCTCAACTTAAAAATTAAGAGAGAGAAAATAGGATAAAAAGAAAGATATGTGCCAACCTGGCTGATTTCTGCCTGTTACAGCAAGTATTCCTAATAATTGCTCCCTTTTTCATCATTCTAAAAATGATGCTACAATAGAGGAGTCGAAAAAAGACCTTGGCCCTAAGCAAACTATACACACCATCAGGAATTTCATCAAGGTTATCATCAATTCCACGCTTTACAACCCTGGGCCTTGTCTGTCCATCTTGTGTGGTTCCCCATTCATCTGGCACTGATGAAGGCTGGAACTGAACAATAACCTTCAAGACATGACAGAAGGATTATGACAGAGCTCACGACCAAGTGCATTTCCACTACAGGCTAAATAATTTATTTCAATACATACTAAACTACTTCATAGTATGAATAATTTATAAATCAAGTACTCGTATTGTTCTCCCAACACCAATTTTATAACAGTCCTGCTAGAGTTCATTAACCATTAAAACTAGGCAAATCAATACCATTACCTCCAATGCGTATACTGGAAAATACAACTAAATCAGAAGTAGTATACCTTGATTTTAAAAATGTAACGTAATAATCCAGGGTTATGCGTAAGAAATTAAGGAAAAGTTACCTAGAAGAGAAGAATCTTTGCCTAACAAAAATATTTAAGGCATAATCCTTTAAATAGCAAGATTCTCAATTAATTTACAAAGTTCAATTTCAATGCCAAAAACTGATATACCCACCACTTTTTAGGAAAACACATATTCTGTTAAACCAACTGTTTTGAACTTAGTCCTATGTCACACAGAACATTTTCTTCAAAAAAAAAAAAAAGGATGCAAGATGGTATGCAAAATGTTTGTGTTTGCATCAAAAACAATGAAAAACAAAAGGTTAAGAGTACTTACTAACAGGAGGAGAAAAAGGAAATGCAGAGTAAGAGGCTTTTATTCTTGATTTGATACCTTTTTATATTGTTTCAATTTTGTTGGCAAATGAATGTTTTTATTTTTATTTATTTCAGTATCAATAAGAACTACAGAAGTGATGAGATTAAAATTACTTTTGTTTTCTTTTATGCTTTTCTAAAATAAATAAATAAATAGCCTATGTTCTGAGAAACTATGGTATGCCAAGTACTATGCTGGATGTTTTTGTAGAAATTACTTCGTTTTATTTAAAATATGATCCTGACCCTGGGAAGATTGAAGTAAATCTTATCACAGGTGAGGAACCTGGAACTCAGAGAGACTAAGTGTGGTAAATGAAAGACCACCACTAATCGAGATCTTAAGAAAAAATAAATTCATGGAGACAATATGAACAAAAATAGGAAGAACGTATTTTTAAAAGGTGAAATGAAACATCATCAACTGGAGGGTGGGTAAACTGTGATGCACACTAAGCTTTAGCAGACACACAGACATCAACAGCCTCATGAGAAAAATTCAAATTTCATTTTTGTTTTTACGATCAATGTGAATAACTAAGCTTTTAAAAGCCATGTGCTTGTTACAACTAGATCCCTACAGAAGTTAACAAAAATGAGCATTTATCTACAAATCAAAGCCACACTGAGATACCACCTCACACCAGTCAGAGTGGCTAAAATGAACAAATCAGGAAATTATTGATGCTGGAGAGGATGTGGAGAAACGGGAACCCTCTTGTCCTGTTGGTGGCTGATGCAGCCACTCTGGAAAACAGTGTGGAGGTTCCTCAAAAAATGAAAAATAGACCTACCCTATGACCCAGCAATAGCACTGCTAGGAATTTACCCAAGGGATACAGGAGTGCTGATACATAGGGCACTTGTACCCCAATGTTTATAGCAGCACTTTCAACAAGAGCCAAATTATGGAAAGAGCCTAAACGTCCATCAACTGATGAATGGATAAAGAAGATGCGGTTTATATATACAATGGAATACTCCCTGGCAATAAGAATGAAATCTGGCCATCTGCAGCAATGTGGATGGAACTGGAGGGTATTCACTAACTGAAATAAGTCAGGCAGAGAAAGACAGATACCATATGTTTTCACTCGTATGTGCATCCTGAGAAACTTAACAGAAGACCATGGGGGAGGGGAAGGGGAAAAAAAAAGTTACAGAGAGGGAGGGAGGCAAATCATAAGAGACTCTTAAATACTGAGAACAAACTGAGGGTTGATGGGAGGCGGGGGAGAGGGGAAAGTGGGTGATGGGCATTGAGGTCACCTGTTGGGATGAGCACTGGGTGTTGTATGGAAGCCAATATGACAATAAATTATATTTAATACAAAAAAAGGAGTATTTATCAACCACATTCAACAAAATCTTTATTGAAAGGAACCTTACACTTTAATATCTTTTTTTTTCCCTTAACACTTTAATATCTTAAACATTAACATTACCTTTGGATTGTGCATAACGATGGTCTCTCCGCTTGGGAACTCTAATCTACGGTGCCACTGATTGGTGGTTACTGCTTTTTTATATTCAGCCTAAAATAACAGAAACATATAAGCCAATAAGACAAATCTATGCCATGGTGAGAAAAAGTGCGGAAGAAAAGTAGACCTATGATGATGATAAAAATAACGTAACAGCAGTTCTCATGTACTATTTATCATCCTTGTCTGTCATTTTACGTACATTATCTTATTTAATTAATTACTCTCAATCACTCCTAAATAAGATTATCCTCAGTACATACAGGAGAGAACAAAGGTTTACCCAGTCCATTAGTTTCCTAGAGCTACTATAACAAAGTACCACAAAATGAATGGCTTAAAACAATAGAAATGTACTGTCTCGGAGTGCCTGGGTGGCTCAGTCAGTTAATCCTCCAAGTTCAGCTCAGGTCATGATCTTGCGGTTCGTGGATTCGAGCCCCGCATCAGGCTCTATGCTGATAGCTCAAAGCCGGGAGCCTGCTTCGGATTCTGTGTCTCCCTTGCTCGCTGCCCCTCCTCCACTTGCACTCTGTCTCTTTCCCTCTCAAAAATAAATAAACATTTTAAAAATTTAAAAAAACAAAAACATAAAAAAAAAAAAAAAATGTACTGTTTCACAGTTCCAGAGGCTAGAAGTCTGAAGTCAAGTGTCAGCCAGGGCCGTATCCCTCTGAAACCTATAGAAGACTCCTTACTCCTTCCTTGCCTCTTCCTAGCTTCTGGTGCTTTGCCAGCAATCTTTAGTGTTTTTGCTTTAAAGATGCAACACTCCAATTCTCTATTTTTACTTGGTATGATGTCAAGTCATATTGGATTAGGGGCCCAACCTTTTCCAGAATGATCTCATCTTCACTAACTATACCTGCAAGCATCCTATTTCCAGGCAAGATCACATTCTGAGGTGCTACAGGTTAGGGCTTCAACATATCTTTTGTGGGGTGCAAAGGAGGACACAATTCAACCCCTCAGTAGACATTTTAAGTTCACAGCTGCACGAGATCGCAGGCGTAAAGTAGCACGGGCAGAACCGCAGTTCACTCCCACCCTCAAATTTCTGACTCCAAAGACTGGACTGTTGAACAATTTTCTTTCTAGGGAAGATTAACATTTTAGGGGCCCCTTTCAACATTAACACAGTGTTGTTTTAATGTTTTCTGTTAGTGCCAGTTATCTCAGTTTTAATAACTACTACATTAAAAAATAGTAAGTAGGAGCGCCTGGGTGGCTCAGGCAGTTAAACGTCCAACTCTCGATTTCAGTTCAGGTCACGATCTCACGGTTGGTTGGATCGAGCCATGTGTCGGGTTCTATGCTGACAGCCCTGAGCATGCTTGGGATTCTGTCTGTCTCTCTCTCTCTCTCTCTCTCTCTTTCTCTGCTCATACCTTGCTCGCACGTGCTCGCACATACCCGCTCTCTCTCAAAATAAATAAAAATTAAAAAAAAATAGCAACTAAAGTGTTCTGTATCTCATTTCCAATGTACGTAAATCGAATTCACTTATTAATTCAACCATTAAGTAGAATTATCATAAGAAATGAATGCAATTATGTGAAACAACATTAACCACCAGTTTTAGAATGGCTAAGTCTTAAAACATTTGTTTCTATTCCGTTTTCTATTTTCAAAAATCAGAAGTTAAGCTCAAGTCTTTTACTGAACAGTGATCAGAAAAGAATCCATATGCTTGGCACGTGCTTTGAACAACAGATCCCAGCAGACTAAGTTGGTTTGAATGTTTGATACAAGTACCTAATTTCTAGATCTGTGATACGCCCCTATAAAACAGTCTACCTTCAGCTACTGAGGCCATGATTAGCACCTCATCTGAACAAAGGCACCACTGAAAAAGCAATCTCCTCTGTGAACAGCATCAAAACAGGCTCTTAAAAAGCCTGCTTCGTTGTGAGTGGTGTCACGTGAGGCTCCAATGTATACAGGGCCTACGGTTTCGAAGGAAAGCATAAAAGAATGAAGCCCACGTACCTCTAGTTTTTCACTGAACTCCTCTGTATAGGGAATAAATCTGCTGTCTGTGTCCCCTTTGTAAAACCAAGTACAGCGTCTGACTTCCGCCGGCTCCTCTTCCCAGTACACAGCCTTCCTCAGTCGATCATAGAGATAAACGTCATAGCGCCCTCCATCTGTGCCTAGAACCACACTCTCAGGGTCCGGCTGGACTGGAGCACAAAGTTCACGTTTTAACCCGACAGTTACAAGGCAGGTTGAAAAATGATAAGTAATGAAAAAAAATAAATGAACTTTAAAAAATAAAAAATAAAAGTAATAAATAATGAATATGGTGGCTAGTTGACCCTTAATGACACAGAACTAAGTTCATTCGTGTTTAAAAATTGAAGTTTGGGGTGCGTGGGTGGCTCAGTCAGTTAAGCGTCCAACTTCGGCTCAGGTCAAGATCTCATGGCTTGTGAGTTCGAGCCCCGCGTCGGGCTCTGTGACAGCTCAGAGCCTGGAGCCTGTTTCAGATTCTGTGTCTCCCTCTCTCTCTCTCTGACCCTCCCCCGTTCATCCTCTCTCTCTGTCTCAAAAGTAAATAAACGTTAAAAAAAAAAAATTAAAAATAAGTAAATAAATAAAAATTGAAGTTTAACATTAATTTGTGCTACTCAAAATTATGACTCTTCTTGGAAACAAATTTGACAATAAATTTCATATATTGAAAAAAAAAATTATGACTCTTCCTAAGTGAAGAAAAAATAGCCGGAGCAGAGTTGTGAAGTAGGACCGTAAAATAATTCAAATGAAAAATAAATACATAAATAAATAAAATAATAATTCAAATAACTGGATTTTCTTTTTTTAATCCAAGCAGCAAGTCTCCATGAGGTATGCTTCCAGAAGGTATTGAGGGATTTTTAAGTCTCATGATGAAATATCATCAGGATGAACAAAAACACATAATTCTATACTCCAGGACTTCTCAGAGCCTTAACACACTGCATTGCACTATCTCAAGAGGTGAATGAAGTTAAGTCACTTTCAAAACTGCCTGACTACAGAACACTTTTCAAAGCATCTTCAGGAACGAGAGTTCTAAAGAAGATGTTTTATAAATGTCCGTAACTGCAAAAGAATGACAGAAATAGGAAAACTGACACCTACATTATATGAACTACTCTATGTCTCTAACTTAAAACATCTTTAAACAAAGAAGAAAATTACTAAAACATTTTAAAAACCTTGCTTAAATAATTCAGGCCTTCTATTACTATCACTATCTTAAGATACAGAGTCTGGTGGAGTCTACAAGGATTAAGGAATTTGACATTCACAAAATATGAGCCATGGATAAATACTGTTTCTTCTCTTCCTAAAATGAGATAAAAATGATGCATGATCTGTCCTTACCTGAATTATAGATTTCTTCAAGATTCAAAGAGTCAAACACACTGAAAGGCATCCACAATTGTTTGTATTCTACCTCCTTGCAGTAAAACCAGTGGGGTTGAACAGGTTCATATTGGTTTTGAAGTAGAAAAGGAGGGGGTGTTTGCACAGAAGGACCTGTGGGTCTAGCAAGAGCCTGCTGTTGTGTTGGAGGGGTCAACCCCGATGGCACTGAAGGAGGAATCTGGAACACACCAGAAAGACAGGGCTATGATGTTTGTCCAAAAAACAACAATTCCATATATGCCTCAGACCCAAAGTAACATTCATAATGATTATCCTACATGTATCTCTGGACAACCATTTAGTTTAATAATTGGGCCCTAAAACAATGTTTCTTAACAACAACAAAAATCAACAAAATCCAACATCAGTCTCAAAGTAGACTGGGCTTTCTCAAACTGATGGTGAAATAAACCGGCACCTTTACAGAAATCAATCGAGCAGTATGTCTCCTGTGATTTATTTAATCTCTGTAACTTGCATATTCCTTGACCTGACCATTCTATTTCTAAGAACTCATCTTAAAGATGTTAATACAGAAACAAAAATTTACCTACAAAGACATATACTAAACGGTCACTTATAACAGAAAATCACTGGACACAATCTAAATGTCTAACAGAGACCTGATTAAGTACATTATCTGTGACTTAAAGGGTGGAATTCTCTAGAGCCATTAAAAATGTTTTAGAAAAGGGGCACCTGGGTGGCTCAGTCGGTTAAGCATCCTACTTCAACTCAGGTCATCATCTCGCAGTTTGTGAGTTCAAGCCCCACGTCGGGTTCTGTGCTGACAGCTCAGAGCCTGGAGCCTGCTTTGGATTCTGTGTCTCCTCCTCTCTCTGCCCCTCCCCTGCTCATGCTCTGTCTCTCTCTCTCTCTCTCTCTCAATAATAAATAAATGTTAAAAAAAAATTTTTTAACGTTTTAGAAAACAATCTTAACATCTAAAAAACGTTCACAGAAATCATATACAATGTTTGTCTACAAAAAAAGATAGAATATAAAAAAAATGAGAAGAAGGGTTATCCAGATGCAATTTTTAATCATTTGACTATTCTGCATTTTTCAAATTTTCTGCACTGGAAATACTTTTAAAATCAGAATCAGGGATGCCTGGGTGGCTCAGTCAGTTAAGCATCTGACTCCGGATTTCGGCTCAGATCATGATCTCACGATTTGTGGGTTTGAGCCCTGCATCAGGCTGCACACTGGGATTCTCCCTCTCCCCCTCTCTCTCTGGCCATCCCCTGCTTATGCAAGTTCTCTCTCCCTCTTTGTCAAAAAATAAACTTAAAAAAAATTGAAACATGATGTGGCGCCTGGGTGGCTCAGTCGGTTAAATGTCTGACTTCAGCTCAGGTCATGATCTCACAGTTCATGAGTTTGAACCCCACATGGGGCTCTGTGCTGACAGCTCAGAGCCTAGAGCCTGCTTTGGATTCTGCGTCTCCCTCTCTCTCTGCCCCTCCCCCACTTGTCTCTCTCAAAAATAAACAGTACAAAAATTAAAATTTAAAAAAACAATTTTTTTAATTAGAAAACAATTATTTTTAAATGTTTTAATTAAAAATCATTTTGGAATGTTGTATCAATGTTAAAATTACGGAGGTGATAACTGTACTGTGGTTATGTAAAAGGACATCCTTATTCTTAGAAATTTGCACTAAAACAGTTAGGAGTAAAGAGTCATAATGCATTCAACTGACCATTTCCCAAACAACTTGCACACACACATAGTGACAAGGGGAGAGAGAGGATGTCCAAATGTGTGAGTGTGTGCCTGTGCACAAGTAAAAGAACAAATGGGGTAAAACGTTAATGACAGGTAAACATGCATTAAGGGCACTGAGTTACTGTTTGTGCTATCTTTATTTTTGTAACTTTCAAGTCTGAAATTATCATTTTTAAATTTCTTAATTAGAAACCTTTTCAAAAATTTAATCAGCAAACTAACACGTTAACTATCCCACATGCTGTGATGCGCTTACCTTCCAATATGCTGAAATCCAACATTATCAAGTTTGTGTATTGATAGGATTTAAATTAAACAATAAAACTGAGCCCATTCTCTATTCCCAAGAGAGAAGTTAGGTTATTTTCTGATTATAATACCGCTATCCCTGCCACACTTGGGTTAATTCTTCCTTTGAATCATTTCCCTTTTTTTGATTCAGTTGATTTCCCTGTGGAAGTCAGTTCAACAATCAGCTGGGGAAAAAGCATAAGGGAATTTCATAGAATTTACCCAATGCAAATGTTGCCCCATCACCCTCCTGAGATAGAGTTTGACTGTCTAGACCCAAACTTCATAAAGTAAAGAAATTATAGAAGTAATAAATTTTAGTCCCTGTAATTGAATGTTTTGATTGAGTAGGATAATTAAAAACTGAGAAAATGGCAGTCTGTTAATAAATGCTTCAACTCTGACATATCCCCAGATAACATTTATTATTGGTATCTTACTCTAAAATCTGGAAATATTGACATGTAGTTAACTCATTAAAATCAGGTACTAACTACTTTCATAAATCAATAATATATGAACCATTTAACGAGCTTCCTTTAAATTTTTTTTTAATGTTTATGTATTTTTTTGAGAGAGAGTGGCAGTGGGGACCCACGGCAGAAAGAGAAGGGGGACAAAAGATCCAAAGTGGACTCTGCACTGACAGCGGGGAGCCCAATGTGGGGCTTGAACTCATGAACCGTGAAATCAAGACCTGAGCCAAAGTCTGACTCTCAACCAAATGAGCCACCCAGGTGCCCCTTTATGATTCCTTTAAAAGAATGTTTACTTCAAAACACATAGCTTACAAAGAATCACCTCTGAGAACAGTTTATCATCACATTGACTATTAAACGCCCAGTGTTGGGACACCTGGGTGGCTCAGGGGGCTGAACGTCCAATTCTTGATTTTGGCTCAAGTCATGATCTCGTGGTTGGTGGGATCGAGCCCCAGGTCGGGCTCTGCGCTAACAGTGTGGAGCCTGCTTGGGATTCTCTGTCACCCTCTCTCTCTGCTCCTCCCCGACTTGTATATGCAGGTGAGCACGCGCCCACTCTCACATTCTGAAAATAAATAACTTAAAAAAAAAAAAAGAATGAAAAAATAAAAATAGAAGCTCGCTTTTTAAAAACATAGGCTAAGATGAGAGAGAGATAAAAAATCAGAGTGAGGGAGAGGCGCCTGGGTGGCTCAGTTGGTTGAGCATCCAACTTTGGCTTAAGTCATAATCTCACGGTTCCTGGGTTCGAGCTCCGCATCAGGCTCTGGGCTGATAGCTCAGAACCTAGAGCTTCCTTTGTATCCTGTATCTCCCTCTCTCTCTGCCCCTCCCCTGCTCGCATTCTGTCTCTGTTCTCTCAAAAAGGAATAAACGTTAAAAAAAAAATTGCTTTTAATAAAAAATAAAATAAAAAACAAAATAAAATAAATCAGAGTGAATAGCTAAGATATAAAAACACATCTCCGTACCGGTGGCAAAGATCCTACAGGCATCTGGTACATCTGAACCGGGGGTCCAGCGGGTGGAGGATGGGGGGGATGGCCTGGTGTTTGGCACTGTTGCAGCTGTGGGGGTGCAATATAAGGATTAGCCCTGCTGCTTACAGGGGTGTGACGATATGGATTGTGTCCTTGTTGGGGCGTTCCTTGCGGTGGGCTCCCAAAATTGGAAGGAGGGAGACTACTTGGCTGAGAAGGCAGGTAAGTATTCATTCCCATCTGTGCAGAAGGTGGAGCACCATACTGAGCCTTCGAAATGGCTGGTGAGCACACATTCGACGCATCTTGGGATCCAGTTGTAAAAGGGAGAGCAGCTGGGGACTTGGAGTATGCTGAGTGTCCAGCCGATGCTGCCACAGTTGTTAACGGCGACTGTCCAATATTCCCAAAAGGATCACTACTGCTTGATACCTGAGAGAAGTAACTAAAGGTCTGTGGGGTAGACGTGTGAGCAGAAGTCTGACCGAGGAAGCTGTCCTCCTCCCCAACGTCGGTGGAATCTTCTGAAAAGGAACAGGAGAGCAAAAGATTTAAAGGATATTCTATTTTTCTGTAGCTACGATCCTATAAGGCAGATCGAGCAATTGCACGTGTTCTTTTTTCTATTTCTGCATTACAAAAAAGAAAGAAAGAAAGAAAGAAAGAAAGAAAGAAAGAAAGAAAGAAAGAAAGAAAGAAAACCTTGTTCTTTTTTTCTTTGAGATGAAAAACTAGAAAATAAGAATACGAAACAACAAAAGGAGGGAAAAATCAGAATTCATTCATAAGCCCACCTCCCGAAGACAATCACTGTTAACACGTTAATGTTTTGGTACATAACCTTTTATATTTTTTAAATGAATAGTCAAGTATTTATTGTAAATATATATAAATTACACATATCTGTATATAGGAGTTTTTGAAAACAGAAACAAAATCTATACCTACTATTTTTACATCTTATTTTGAATTTCCTCCTGGTAAAAAATAATTCAAATATTTTCTGCTACCAAACACACGCAGTTTTATTTCTACAGTAATAAGAAACTTAAGTACAGACATGAACTCTGTTGACAAGAAGGGGTGTGTCGGGACTCTTACCTACAAAGCATTCATTGTACAAATGAACACGTGGTATTTGTATTCCCAAGGCAAAGTAGGTCAACCATTAATTGCCATCCCTAAAATCACACTATTGCGACCAGAGAACTAGCCATTAGAGAATGCCAAATCACTAAAAAGCCATTTTCTAACCAAAGTTCAGTTCTCTTCACTTCCCTTTGCCCAAACTGATCTTCACCACAGGGATTATCAACCCCAAACTACCTTCTCTTCTGCAACCAAGTTGTAAAATAAAAGTATTCTCCCTCTACATGGCCTCAAAAGTCCAGCCCACTCTTTTTACCAAACTTTTATAAGCCCTTAGCTTGTAGAAACTTTCTTCCTAGGGGCGCCTGGGTGGCTCAGTCAGTTGAGCGTCCGACTTCGGCTCAGGTCATGATGTCACGGATCGTGGGTTCAAGCCCTGCATGGGGCTCTGTGCTGACAGCTCAGGGCCTGGAGCCTGCTATGGATTCTGTGTCTCCCTCTCTCTCTGCTCCTCCCCTGCTCACACTCTGTCTCTCTCTCAAAAATAAATAAAGATTAAAAAGAAAATTTTTTTTAAAGAAACTTTCTTCCTAATCTTTTCCTTCCCCCGGCTCATTCCCTCTTATCTCCTACTGCTGGAGGCATGGAGCCCAACAGAAGACCCACACTCAGCACACAGGCACACTGTGATCCTTGCCCCCTGAGAGGCCTTCTTTCACTGGCTCACAGAGATTCTGGCTTGAGTTTCTAGGCTGCTCCCACTGTATTTCTCACGCATCAATTTAACTGAGATACTCCACTACTCAAAATACTCCTCTCCATTGTTTCTTTGTAACCAAAAATAAATTCTCACCTCCTTCACAAAGCCCTTTGTCTGCTGGCTTTATTCTCCTTTGGAGATACATCTCCAGTTCCCTCTCTCTCTTTTCAGCTGCCTGGACCTCACTTGTCTTACATTTCTCAGTTCACCTCTCAACAACTAAAAACATGGAATGGAAACAAACAAACAAACAAACAAACAAACCCCTGTGGTATCTTTCATCCTTTAAGACAACCTGGGATCAACCTGATCCAAGAGACTTTTTTCTGATTAGCATCAACTGCAAATGAAATACTGATCTCCGCATGCTGCCAGCTCACCTCAGGGGCACTTTCTAATTACATGTGGACACATTCGGCATCGAAACCTACAACCTTAATGAGCACTTGTACACTTTTGACACTCCCAAATCTGTCTCAAACCAGGAGCGTTCTCCTGTGCTCCAGAACCTATCAACCACCTGCTTCCTCGACACTTTTGGCAGACTCAGCCACATACACCTCAAACCTACTAAGCCTGAAAAAGAACTTACCACCTTAACTGTCCTCCTTCATGCACTGCTTTTATCACACCGCACTATCTCAACAGGTGTTCACCAACATCCATCCAGACACTCAAACCAAAACATCATCTCTTAGACTCCTCCCCCGCTTCGTTTCTCAATCCCTTCATTTAACCATTCAGACACTCATTCAAGAAACATGTACACAGT